AACTTATTATTTCTACAAAATGTGTCTTCCTTAACATCCATCACCAAGCGAGTGCTTCAATAATCTGGGAAAGACCAGGCACCAGTCATGGACATTTCAAAATGCGTACATCAATATGAGTGAGTTTTAGAAGCAAATACGTAGGTCATACAGAAAGGTGATTGTCCACACACATGATGGAGCATTCGCCAAAGTGGTTGAAAACAGTTGAAATCAAAGTGCTAAAATGTTGAATATCAAAACATTCTATGGACTACACACATGATACTGACAATGTCAAGTCGTTCGCTGTTGTCAGCACACAAACAAACAGGAAGATGCTGATAAATATGGAGGCTTATGCTATTAGACATGCGTAGGTGGCACAGTGGTAGAGTGCTCGCCAATCACGCATGTCGGCCGGGATTCGATCCCCGGACACCGACGCATTCCGTTACCTCGCTAAGCCAGTAATAAGATTGGTAAAGAGTGAAAGTTGCGCATGAGGCTAGCAACCGCATCCCGTACTGCTACAGAAACTCTAAGCCTGTAGCTTGAATCCCTATGTTCCAATGGGAACGTAAAAGAATATAGAGAATGCAAGTAGACTTTATAAACTCGGTCTCCGTGTACAAAAGAAGGTGATCGTCACTGTGAATCTAACTTGGGAATGTGTTTTACTTATCAGCTGTTATTATTATTAATATTAACTTCTATTTATTATTATCATTACTCATTTATTTAAAACTATCTTTTATCAGTAGCATTATCTTAATTCGTTTCAACAATATTATTATAACTTATTATTATTATATCCTTTAATTCCTAGAGGAACATGGGGCTTCAGCTGCGCGTCTCCATCGCCTTCGGGTTTCTGCCAACTCTCCCACCCCGCTCCAAGTCTGTCCACATGCTTTCATCTCCTCTTCACATCACCTCCTCCAAGTCACCCCACGCTCGCACTGACGACCAACTCGCCGCTTCCCTTTCGGGTTCCACTCGAGCAATAGCTTGTCTAGTGATGTCACTTGATGGTTTCCTCAGAGTATGGCCAATCTAATTCACCTACATTTCTTCCTGCCTATTTGTTGCACAATCGGTTCCTGGTTGGTTCGCTCTCAGAGATCCCTGTTACTGATGTTTTCTGGCGGGCCATCTGATCTAGGGTATTGAGCGAAGACAACTGCTGATGAATTATAGGTTTCCAGACCGTAGGTGTTACGAATTTCCTGGAATAATTTGAGCGCCGAGTCAGCGTGTTAACACGCTGGGATTAATTTAAATAATTTATAACTGTTGATGAAGGTCTGAAGTTTGTTTGAGATGCTCTTTATGACACGTCAAGTCTCTGATCCGTATAGTAGCACTGACTTCACATTGGAGTTGAAAATCCGGATCTTATTTTTGATGCTGATTGCTGTTGACCTCCACACAGATTTGAGAGTAATGAAAGCTTGTCTTGCTTTTCCGATTCTGGCTTTGATGTCCTCGTCAGTTCCGTCTGCCTGTAGTTGAGACGATGCTTCCCAGGTAGGTGAAGGAGGTTGTTACTTTCAGGTTCCTCCCATTTATGCTGGCTGATTGTTGTCTGTTATTGTTGTTGCTGTTGGTGTTGACCAAGAATCTCCATCACCTCTGTTATCTCTATGTTTACTTAGAGTCCTATCTTTGATGCTTCTTCTACCAACTTGTTACTTTTCACTTGCATATCTTCCAGTCTGTGGGAAATCAGACATATATTGCATCGGTGAAGTCCAGATGCTCCAAGTCTCTTGTGTGAATCCATTTTATGCCTGTCTCCTGGTTGCCCGGCTTGTTGTCTGTCGCATTATCCAATCTACTGCAATCAGGAAAATCATTGGCGATAGTAGACAGCCTTGCCTCACTCCCGTCTCCACTTTGCAATTCTTGATATATTTAAGTTCTTTCTCTAATGACTAATTGTTTTTCTAAGTAATGTAATTGAAGCGTAATGCAAATTATTTTGATTTTAATCTGTCATACTCCTTCTCGCCTTATCTATTTGAACACAACATTCAAAACATTCACACGTATCGTTTTTTATGATTAATTCAATGTAATTTATTTGCTTATCAATCTTATATCTCTCAATGAATTTCCAATAGTATGTATATATATCCCTATATGTAGAGCGTCTAGCTGAAGAGTTCTACCAAAAAATGTGATGAATTCGTAATATCCGTCTTTATTAACCTTTTTTGCTTGTTTCACAATTTTTGTAACCTAAGTGAAAATTCTCTTATTAACATGAGCGCAAAACTTGGGCACTGTGGTATTAAGTAATTCCATCCAGTCATCCAGTAAATAATACTGTTTCACTGTGTGATACATCTAATAAACAAACTAATATGAAAATTCTCTCCCCTTCAAATCATCTTCCCCACGTTACCCTCTGACCCACACACAACTCTTCGCTAACTATTCGGCTTCTGTTTAGTAGCCTTGTGTATCACGCCTTCTCAATACACATACAATTGATTTCTACCTTCAATTACCAATTTTCTCAGAGAGTAGGTTCTTACGTCGATTACAGATAAGATTTTATTTTGATAAATCACACAGTTGAATGTTATTCAGTAATATTAACTGATGAACACGCCTTGAACACAAATTATTACTGCTCATAATCTTATCAAAACACAACTTTCTTGCTTCATTTATAATCTTTTCGTGTAAAGGTCAGCCATTCTTACCTTACTCAAAATTCTTATGTTCCGACAATCTGACTACCCATGACCTACTAGCTTGACCTATGTAGTTCACTTAACTCACAGTCATTCTAAGGTATTTTACAAATTATATTATTCTGTCTAGTTAGGTTGACCGACAGGGTCCTTTATCCTACAGAAATTTTTCTTCCTGAGTGGGTTCGCAGTTTTGAATGCCACCCTAATTCCGGTTATATTAAGAATCCTACCTCGGGAGGGTCTTAGTTGTCTCTTATCTACTTATTCGGTAAAACTACTGTAGATGCATTATATTCTCTCTTATTTATGTTACCATTATTAGTTTCATCATTATTTTTTACTTTACTGTTAACCTTTTTTGATATTCTTAATGAATTTTATAGGATAGTAGTTATTCAGCACCAGCGCCTATTTTATCTGTTTCATTTGATTATTGAAGTCATTTTGTTGTAGTACTTAGTGCTATTGCTCAGTTTGTTAGACACTTAACTAAGCCTGTCTTCACAGACAGATAGAGGATAAAATGAATTAAAGTCGAAATATCTATTAGCAGAATGCTTTGGCTTCTTATAAACACTAGTGTGCTGTGTACCTTCTTCTATTCGTTTTATTTTACAAACGAACATCATAGGTAATTCTCCTTGTTCATTTTCCGAACACATGCACAATAGAAGTGACTCAATGCAAATATCAGAGATTTGCAAGATATTTTTACCACCAGTCAGTCAAATTAGAGGAGGATAATAAATAATCTTAAATTGTATTCGATTTCAATTCAAGCACATCACAACATTCTAACAAGTTACGTGTTCTGACTATAAAAACACTCGTCTTATTTCTCATCTGATTGTACTTGATTGATAACACTCATATCATTATTATTTCTGAATGTGCATTATCTTAAATTGATTTTATTCAAATGTCTAATCATCAATTTTCACTCACGTATATAAACGACGAAGCAAGAAAGTTGTGTGAGTAATAATTTGTGCTCTAAACGTGTGGTCATCAGTTAATATTACTGAATAACACTCACTTGTGTGATTTATCAAAATAAATTTTAGGTATAATGGAGTTATACTCTACCAACACATTGCTCAACTTTTATACTTATATCAATAGGTTCCTAGCTCATTCGTTGCAGAAATTCATTGTGTGGATTATTCTTCCCGATAGTCTAATTTTCAGTATTTAATGCAAGTTGGTTGTGCGTCGGTGGCACAGCTGTCAGGATGCTCACCAACCGTACACATGGTCCAAAGTTCGATCCCCGGCCATCAACACACTCCTTTACGTAGTTTAGCGAGGAAATGTTTCGTCTTACCTTCTAACTTAAAAAGTTAAGACAATCAGGCACCAACCAACCTTTAGTTTTGCAATTTTTAAACTCCTGTATTTTACCTATTGTACTCTATTGCTCTCCATTAATCTTTCCTGGGCTTCTGAAAAAAGACTATATTATATTACGAAGAGTATTAAATGCTGTGAGAAGGGCTTGTGGTCTGTCACTGCATGAGCTCGCCAATACTATAGTCGAGAGGCATATAAATTCCTGTACAAAATGGGCAAAGGCTATACTGTCAGACCCTCTGTATCCCCTTTATTCACAACTATCCCCTTGTATCTCATCAGGTAGGACGAGAAGTCAATATAAAAATTTATGTGATCGTACCACTCAGTACAGAAATTCTACTATAACCTATTTAGCCCGTACTTTATGTGACGAAGACTCTGTTAGATGTGAAACACATAGATTACTATGTAGTTAGCACATTGAATCGACCCTTTTATTGTTCATCTTTCTGTATTATATGGTGTCACTCTTTCTATTCGTTTAATTATAACCCTGCTATTTTATTTTAGATGTTATTACTATTATTACTACAATTTCTTACTTTATGCATATTTTTCTCCGTATTGCTACAGTATTTTGCTATGTAGCTGCTATAACAATCGTTTTATAATTACTACGTAATGTGTATTTTTAATTTTCTTTGTTGTTTTTGAGTAAATTCGACGCAATATTGTACTGAATGCTGAAAATTCCTTGCTGTATCATTAGTACTGTTCTTGGAATAAAGCAAAAATTATTATTAATAAATAAGACTGGCAAAGAGGAAAGGTTGGACACGAGGCTAGCAACCCCATCCGGTAGAAATAAATACTGATACAGAAACTTCAAGCTTCTAGCTTGAAGTCCTCATGATGTTCCACTGGGAGCGTGAAGGAATAAAATAAATGCGATTTGATTAAACTTTAATTTACTACAGTATAATTAAGAACATATAATAACATTTTCCTTAAGAAGCTTACCTGTATCAGCTAGTAGTTTGTCAAATGATTGTTCCCATTGATGTAGTTGACTTCTTGTCGGTATATGTTCATTCACTACCAGGTTCTCTTGACAACCTTCTACTTCACGAGTATCAAATTTAAAGGAATCATTGCATTTATTATTATTATTGGTAGTATTATCAATATCAGTTGTTGGTGAGGCACTTTTTGACTTTCCAACTGGTCGTTTAAACGCATTGGAAAATGATTTCGACAACAGGTTAGCTAATAAATCATTCAAATGGCGGATACTTTTTGATTAGAAAAGCAGGAAAAAAGGTAGAATAAAGAAAACAAAAAAAAGAAGATTTGAGATTAGAAGTTGGCGGTGATTAAGAAAATTAGTGATTTTAGTAAATTATTAGACATGTATCTAATAATAATAATTATAATAATCCACTTTATTCTAAAACAGACAGTACTTATAATACAGAATTGAATGCTCAGCATTTTTTCACAATGTTACATCTGATTTACTCAAAACATAAATAAAATTAAAGCTAAATTAACCAGAGGAATTTGTTCATATTCGTCCACGGTACAAAAAGTCAAAAATATTCGAAGTACGATTTGACAATAATAAATATAATAATAATAGCAGTGAGTTTATTTCAAACAGCAATGTCGATTCAGTTTGGAAATTTTAGCATGTTATTACAGAGTATTGAATCTAATGTTATGTTGATATAGCAGCATGGTGAGGGAAAATACAAAATTAACAGTTTTAACACAGCTTAAATGATGTTGACACTTATGAAAAAAAATAAACAAATGAAAACAAAACAAATTGAGAGGATTACAAATGTAAGAAATACAATAACAATAGAGGTCGATGTTGTAAGGGTGGAGAAAATGGTTTATTAAATAGTGCCTAACACTATTTTTATCACATAAATTACTTGCGGCAAAATATGGTATAGTGGAATTTTTATACTTAGACGTACGTGCACAGAGTCTTCGGAAAAGACTTCTTGTTTTATCTGAGGAGGAGACACAAGGTTGGAGCTTCGTGTACAGTCGATGCTCACAGTCTAACAAAATTCCTTTAGCAAATTTGTTGCATGAAATCAAGTGCCTGTTATCGATGACAATGTTACCGATATGGCCCAATGGGACACCACTCGTCCTACTGACAGTTAGTCTTTAGAGTTCTACGAAGTATGACATAGTCTTTTTTGAGCAATCCACAGAAGAATAAACGTGAACACTAAAGAAGAATAGGTAAAATACACGAGTTGACAAACTGTAAGATGAATGGTTGGTTTATTCCTGAGCGTCCTAACTTCTTAATTTAAAGAGTTGGGTGAAATATTCTTTAAGAAATCGCTAAGACACAGGAGGATCAGGATAGGTCAGAAGAAAGAATTAATCCAGGATACTTAACTTCAGACTAGGCTTCTATATCAGTATCATCAATTTTGCAAGGATCATAAGAACCGACGGCTTCACTTAACTTTCTTTTGGATCGGAAACTAAAATCAACAGTCTGAAATTTGAAGGGATTTAGTTTAAGGCCGTTTGACGAAGACTATTTGCTAATTCCTGACAGAAAGCTGTTCATCTTAGTACAGTCTAGCTGGTAGTTAACAGACATTGAAATAATTAGATGGTCGACATACTTAACAAAGTTTATTTCATCAGAGTGAAGCAAGTCATGCAAGAATAAATAAAACAGAGAAGGAGAAAGGACGACGCCTTGGTAACACCAGTCTTAGTAAGCAAAGAAGTGGACGACGTCCCCTGAGAAATAAGAATGCAGCCATTTGGCAACCCAACAGTCAGTTTAAGTTTCAGCAAGCTTGTTTAACAAAATGTCTCTAGGTACTGAGTCGAAAGCAGATGTGTAATCTAGGAAAGTGCAGCAAAGGAAATTTAGCCCTCTTGTCTAAACTGGAGACAGTGTTATGATGCAAGACTGCAGCTGCATCTAAATTACTTCTACTGTGTTTACGAGGGAAATCATCTCAATAAGTATTTATCACCTTGGTAATTTATGTAGTGAATCTTTATTGAAGACACTAACAAACTGATTGTTAGACAATATACTATGCATATGCATAGATATATGTGTATAATGGAAGGTAGGAATGTATGTTTAGGCTTCCCCTTGTACACTTGCATGCCTTCATGTATACACACAGTTAATACAATGAACATATAATAGTACATAGATCAGGTGAATAGTAAGAAAGAACCATGTGAATAGATTGCCCTAAGACACAAAATGCTTCCTTTATTTTTATTTCCTTCAAAACTTGTGTATTATTATTACTATTATTATTTTGATTACAATAAAGTGGAGTTAAAATATAGGTAGGTTTGCCAGAAAAAGATGTTATAGTCTTGATAAAAAATTATACAATGCTAACTAAGAATAACATTTCTGGGTGTCTTTTTTTAATTTTATTATGTTATGCTGAAAGCAACCGTGAAATAACAATGCTAAACAGCAGGGGACCATTTTGGCGTGTTAGAATGCAAGGTTATTGATTAACTAAACAGAAAAACCCGGGCAAAACAGATAAATATGTTTGTGTGTATATATTCCAAGCAAATCAGCACGATTTTATCTTAGATAACCTGGTTGAAACAAAACACTGTGTGCTGAATACCGAAATGGTAAACAGAAGTTGTGTAATAATAAAAAGTTCTGCCAGAAATTATTTAAGAATGTTTAGGCAAAATTCACTATCGCTAATAAATGGGGTATTAACTGCGGGATGTAATGTTTGAATCCCCGCCGCAGCACTTGTCAGTGTTGGTGAACAATGAATAGTTTGTTAGTTCTAGATGGTCTTCATATCCCATAACTTAATTGCGTACTGGTTCGCAGAAGATTGAAGAAAACAATCAGAAGTACTATTCTACATTTTATTACCGTTTATTTATAGACTTTAGTATTGATTAACCACTGTAAATCTATTTTATTCTCTTTTAAGAATTGGTTCCGTAGGGGTTTTGTTTGATTGCATGGAGGATTTCATCATGAGCTGACATCAGTTAGAGCACCACTGGAAAACCACCGGGGTTCGAACACGGGACCTTCTTGTTACAAGACTGGAGAGGTCGTAGACTATTGAGCCACTGGGGCACGATTCAATGGTCCTTGAATTCTAACTTCTGCCAATTCATGACATAGCGTGGTCATTTTGCAATGTCTTCTCCAATGAGCTACTGCCTCGTCTTCAATCTGCTGTACCCTACTGGTTACGGCTTCCCACTAGAACCCCAGATGTTTACTGATGATGAGTCCCAAAGTAGGACGAAACAGCTGTCCAGTGCTCTCTAGCAGGTTTTCCAGCGGTTCTCTAACTGATATCAGCTAATGATGATATCCTCCATGTTTTGTTATGTCTTCCCCATTGTTCCACGTCGGTTACAGTGCATAGTATTCTACGTATTAAGCTTAAACCTTATGAAACCAGCAACCGATAAGTTCAGGATCTCAGAGATTTGGATTTTTGGCAGCACTTTTAACCACACCTATTTGTTCCAGCAAACAGGACAGATTAAGGGTGAGGTAAGCCAACCCACTGTGCGGAAATAATGAACAATGAAACCAACTCTACTGAGATTTGAAACCTCCGATCCTTGTGTTCCACTGTGGATGAAAGCAATATGAAAGATTTAGTCAACATTCATGTGCATATATCGATTCAATGACTTTTGTAAAGCTAATTGCATAAGTCATATCGATAAAGTACTGTCCAGGTGAACATACACACACACACAAGGACATCTCCCTATATAGTTGTCGAAAGGAAAAAAAGCGGTTGAACCTTGTTCCCACAAATTATTCCGCGTCAATGGAAAAATCTTTCAAACTGATACGCAGGGATAAGATTTCTGGCTACAACTTCTGTCTTCAGAGGCAGCGTTTGCTATACACAGCGAAAACTTTAAACTGTGAATCAAGAAGCGGCTAATCCGGTCCCTCTGACTGCAGTGGTCTAACACTGTTGTTTCTTTTCCTTAACTCGTACAATAACTTGGTATGCAATGCATATTTACAAAAGAATGGATGCTGAACAAAGAATACTCTTTTCGACAACCCCTTCTTCATCAAGCTCTGTAGTTATATATACATTATAGTGATTGAATGAATTAGTGTAATGAACAACATTAATGTTTTCTGAAAGTTTATATGAAGCAATCAGTCCAACAGGCACGTATACGCCAAAATTGTATGGCCTACCTAAAGTGCATAAACCGGGGCTGCCATTAAGACCAATATTTGATATGCAAAATTTGTCCTACCATGCTCTAGCTAGATGGTTAGAAAATATTCTCAAACCTTTGCATGTGAAGATAGTGACATATAACGTGAAAGATGTATTTAAACTCGAAGACAAAGTCAAAGATATTAACATCAAGGAAAAAACCATGATATCTCTGGACATAACATCTTTATTTCCAAATGTACCTCTAGTAGAAACAGTTAACTACATATGTGAACAAGGGGATAAACAGTCAATAGACGTTGACATTCCAACGGAAATCCTAAAAGAATTGTTATTAAAGTGCATGGTGAATGTAAATTTCAAATTTGACGGCAAACTCTACAGACAGATTGACGGGATGACGATTGGCTTTCCACTGGGTCCAATTTTGGCTGATTTCCTTCTAAGTAAACTAGAAAAAAGACCTGTGAACAACCTTATCAGAAAGTTCTCATTTTACTACCGGTATATGGATGACATCTTCATCCTTTGTGATAATGATTCGAATAAGAGTACAATAATCACTGAATTTAATGAAGTGAATTCTGCTATGAAATTCACATGCGAAGAGGAATCCCAAAACAGAACTGCCTTCCTGTATGTCCTCCTTACAAGAAGACCAAATGGTAGCATAAAAGGAAATTCGCATAGTAAAAGTACCTGGACAGGACAATATACATATTTTCACAGCTTCGTTCCTCTCCAGTACAAAACAAATTTGGACGGGAAGGACCCTCAGCCACAGAGTTAGAGCTATATGCTCAGAAGAAGTAACTGAAGATGATTTAAGCACCGTATATGATACTTTGATTGAAAATAGCTATCTCAACATGACAAAGAAAGCGGAAATGGACTACTCACTATCTGTGAAAAAGAAGCCGCTTAATTTACGACTGCGATTCAAGGACGATTCACTAAGTAAACGAATTACGAATAAATTAAGTAAATCAGTTCAAAGAAATTTTAGTGCTAGCAAACTACGCGTCTTATCCTATACTCGACCGATGGTGCTACATCGACTAAAAGATAAA